TTCCCCCGCTCTTCGCTCACTCGCCACCTGCGAATTCACAGCGGAGAAAGTCCTTACACGTGCCAGCAGTGCGGGAAAGCCTTCAGCCAGAAGAGCATTCTTACTCGCCATCTGCTGATCCATACCGGCAGGAAGCCTTACGAGTGTACCGAGTGTGGCAAAGCCTTCTACGGCGTCTCGTCGCTGAACAGACATCGAAAAGCTCACGCTGGGGAGCCTCGCTACCGGTGTATTCAGTGCGGCAAAGCGTTCTTTGACCGCTCGTCCATGACACAGCATCAGAAAATCCACACTGGAGACAAGCCATATGAGTGCAACGAGTGCGGGAAGTCCTTCAGCCAGAGATGCCGGCTCGTGCGGCACCTGAGAGTTCACACGGGCGAGAAGCCCTTTGAGTGCAGCGCCTGCGGGAAGGTCTTCAGTTCAAAATCCTCCGTTGTTCAGCATCAGCGCCGTTATGCCAAACAGGCCTTTGATTGAGTTGGATAAAAGTCGGGTCAGACAGATGACTCCATAGAAACTTAAGATAGGCCTTCCCTGTCTTAACAAGCCCATCACTCGCTCCTTCCTCCCATCATGGCTACTGTTCCCCGGTCCTGCCTCTGCTCCACGGTGTTGATGAACATTATTCCTCCTGTGTTTTAGAACTGATGTGGGATGCCAGAAGTTAGGAAATGATGTGAAGATTGAGAATCTCGGAGAGGTGTGTCAGACAATAGGGTAACTGTGAGGAGAGCCTCCAGCACGCCTGTCGTCTGAGAATGCAGCCCCAGCGTCACTGCACTTGAAAGAGCTGGAGGCTACGGCAGGAGGGCAAAGGCAAGTTTGCCTTTATCAGAGCAGCACTGTTGTTTTCCAGAACAGTTTTTATAGCTGTTAGTCCCTCCCTGGGAGGCTTCTGGGGCACTGACCTTGATCCCCCGTGTCCCAGCTGTTAGGTCTCTTAATACTAATACTACTAATAGCACTTATTGAGCACTTATGGGGTAAACACTCAACTGAAAATGTTACAAGGAATAGATGAATTGATTCTTTCACCACCACTGTGAAGTAGGTACTGTTACTATCTGCATTTTACAGATGAGCATGCTGAAGTTTAGAGAGCTGAGTAACTGGCCCGAGGTGACACAGCTAGTGAAAGTTGAAGCCAGAGCTTAGATACAGGTCTGCCTTCCAAGTCCGCTCTCTTTACTACTGTCTCTAAGACTTGTCTGTTTTCTCATTTATGTACACAGGCCTAGATAGAATGCACTTGGGGGTGTGACTCGTAGATCTTTTTATCTCACACAGTGCCTTGCAGGTGATAGGTGCTCAATAACTATTTATCTGAATGACATAGTTCCTGCTTTCTCATCATTGAAGAGAGAGAGGCTGGCCTGGCCCCAAAGTGCAGTGGTTAAATGCTGTGCTTGGAAAGTCATATTCCACATAGCCGACTATGTTCAAATCCTAGCCCTGGCGGCTTGAAAAACATGCCAGGCACGTATGCGTGCATGCCCCAAATCCTGATGTCATGGAGAAGTGGAGGGGAAAAAGATTGTAGCATGACCATATCCCATTAAAGGGTGCTTTCTCTCCGTCACTTTCTGTCTGTCTTTCTGGTGAGCGCATGCACCTACTGCCAATGTATAAAAAAGAAAAATAATTTTTTTTTTTTGGAGAGGTTTTTGCTATGGGGCGCGTGTGGTCGCCAGACAGACAGAGAGAGACAGATAGAAAACGAGAAATCACCCCCCAGGGGGGATGGCCACGCCGCAATCCCTTCTCCTCCATTCTCCTCTCGGGATCTTGGGCACGCACGCACACACGCCCAGTGTGAGTTTAAGCCACCGGGTCCAGGACTCGAACCGCAGTCGACTACGTGGGAGTCCAGCGACATAGCCATTACGCTAACTACTGGTCCCCCCCAAAAAGAAAATATTAAGAAGAGGGATATGCTAAGCCACGGTGCAATAACAAGCCCCCAAATAAGCCAGTCTGTGGTCACGCAAAATCTGATGTGATCAGTCTGTGTGAGTCTTGCTGCACCCTCATCATTTAGAACATTTGACCTCCAAAGTCACCATGAAATAAAAAGAGAAAGCTAGAAGGATTTGTGGGATGTTTTTAAAGCCCAGATCTGTAGCACATCTCTCCACATCTAATAAGCCAGAACCTGAAGGCTAGAAAATAAACACCTCAATATTTGGTTAACACCAAGAGACTATCACAGGTACATTTTGCATATTACTGGTAAACCAGTATTGCCCTATGACCCCTTCCTGCCCATCATTGCATTACTTAAGACCTAAACTAGCTCCCTATTTAATGAGAACTCTGAATATTTAAGGTCTGCCTTATTGTGATCTTTGCTAAGCTTTATGTGCTAACTCCCAGAACCCTCCTATTTCCCTTGGCCTAGCCCTATATTTTTAATTTTATTAAAGGTCAGGCACTAGATGATCTTGACTGTAGGCATCTGCATTTCTTTTTTATTTTTTTACATTTGTTTGCTTTCCTAAGTGAGAAAAGCAGAGTGAAAGAGAAACAGCACCCCAACAGGGTCTTGAGGCGGTGCGCCACCAGCCGCAGCCTTCCGCCAGCTCTGGATCATCGGCAGGCACTTGCCCTGCATACTGAGGAGGTCTCCAGACTTGAACCAGGAACCTTCCCACGTAGAATTTCCTCACACAGCGACATGTTTCTGTTTTGTTTGTTCGTTTTGACCGCTGTGCCACCTTCTGGCCCCATGCATTCCCTTTCTAGTTGCTTATGGTGATAACCTGCAAAAGGACTTGACTCTGAAAGAATGGAATTTGATCGCCCTACGTGAATTCTAGCGGATCAAGATGAATCTCCCCAGAAGTTAAAATCAGACTCAAGAAACTGAATTGCCAAACAGACCCCTCCCCAACCTACAAACAACTCTATTAATCTTGGCCTATCTTAGAGCAGATAAGCGGCAGGGAAGACTTTTTATGTGTGGACTTTTGAAGCAACTTGAGGAAAAACATGTCAGAGTCTATGGGTGTACATAATATCTGATACTGTTTAATAATGTCGAGTAGAAAATAAAAGGACTGTTGACAAGCTTCTGACTGATGACTGTCTCTGAGAGTTCTGAATCTTTGATTTACTGCCTAATAAACGAAACTGAGAGTCAACTACCTCCGTAAGATATTCTGCCAGTGTCAGCAAGGGAAGATTGGAACAGATTGAGGATTCAGATACTTTTTTAAAAAAATTATTTTATTTATCTTTATTTTAATTTGACCAGAGAGGGACAGAGAAAGAGAACAAGCAAGCCGCCAGGTCCAGGACTCGAACCATGGTGAGCCATGTGGGAGGCCACCCCGCTTAATACCCACCTGCCAGCCCCAGGATTCAGATACTTTTGAGTACAACAATAAAATGGAATGGGATGTAAACTTCATAGTTTTCCCTTTGTTCTCTTATAAATTTGGTGACCTGCATAGCAGGTGGCATGGTGGTTAAGGGCGCTGGACTCCCACATGGCCAACCGTGGTTTGAGTCCCTGACCTGGCGGCTTGTTTTTCTCACTCCACACACACACACACACACAGTCTCTCTCTCTCTCTTTGCCTCTCTCTGTCCCTCTCTGGTTGAATTGAAATAAACAAAATTAAATAAAAATAACTCTTTCTTTAAAAATGGGGAATACTCGTTCATGACCTAAAATCTCTAAGGGCCATCTATCTTCTAGTATATCGCTCCCAGTGTGACATACAGTAGTGAAGCCTTGAGTTTGCAAGTTTTAGCTTCATCTAATGGCCATTAATAATATCAGATTGTTAGGTGGAGATTTAGCCTAGTATCACAATCCACTATGGTGGGTTTTTTTATGTTGGGTTATTTTGTGCATCTGTGGCAATAGATGAGATCTCAGTGGTGGTATAGATTTGATTGATTTCCACCTGTCGAGAGGCCTGAAAATGATAGCCAGACCCCAGTAAGGGGAGGGAAGGGCCAAGAAAGTCAGACGTCTAGTTCGGGAAGGAAGAGTAAGAGTGTACTGTAGGAATGCACCCCCAACTCTCTGCTCCCTCCCTTTTCCTTCCTCTCACATGGACCCAGGCCCCTGGGACTGTGTTGGATCTGTTTCTGCAGCTGAAAGACCAAAGGCTGAAGAGGTAGTTTAAGTGACCAGTCTCAAGCCAACTTTGTCAGAAATCCTAGCTTAGATGAGAAGGGTAGGGAGAGGACATGAATCTCCATTTTCCACTAAGGAGACAATGACAAAGACCTCTCTCCTAACTCCTCTTGGCAACGGTGGGGTGGGGGTAGGAAAGAAATGGCTAAGAAGCCTGAGGTCTCCCCTAAGACCTTGTATCCCACAGGCATGGACTAAGAATTGTGATTATATAAACACATCGCTGGATTAACAAGCATAGCTGGGGCAAGATTGTGTGGAATCTGACCCTGGCAGTGAAAGCTGGACTGCTGAAAACCCAATCTAAGAGTTCAGAAGTCATACTGAGGTTGCAGGATGGCCAAGGTAACTAGATCCCAAAACAGGCAATTTGACAGAACAGGAAAGAGACTGGGACCAAGATGCTTGGATTCCTGGAGAAAGGAGGGTAGGGACTGGGAGGACAAAGGAGAGCTGGGGGACCCCAGGAGTCTGGGTTCTGGAATAGCAGCAAGTCAGAACTCCAGGATCGCTGTTAAGCCTGTTGGTATTGTTCTCTCAGGCAGAGGAGAGGGAAGGAGAGGACTGGAAAAAGGCTCAGACCATGGGTTTAGTCCTCAAATAGCCACATGGATACATTCAGGGCCAGACAGACACAGGAATGGTAGGGGAGAAAGGGATTTAGTGCGGTATTTGCCCTGGAGGAGGTTGGGAGGGGTCAGGAGGCTGGGGAGGGGTGTTGGGTGTGGGTCCGGGGTTGCATGACGCTGTCCTTTGTGGTGGCCCTTACACAATGTGGATGACCACAGCCTTCCTCTTCCTCATCGCTCTCTCTGGAGCTCTTGCCAAAGGCCTGACATTTTTCATAAATACAGCAGGATTTTGATGAGTGGTACCCCACGTGTTCGTTGTCCACTGATTTCTGCATGTCGAGAGGCCCGAAAATGATAACCAGATCTCAGTAAGGAGAAAGAAGGCCAAGAGAGCTGGACACGAGTGAACGAGTGTCACTCATTCACTCCACCTTTTTCTCTGCCTTCCGTTTCCGAAGTTTGATGGGTAGGCTCCAGTTCCCTAGCGCTTGGTTGTCACGGTAACTGTTGTCTCAGTGATGGTCTCACTTAGCCCGGCTCCTGCCTCCACTGTGGCTAATGCTGAGGAAAGGAAGGAGGAAAGGGAGGGGGATGAGACACCCTTTCTCATTTTCTGTGTCTCAGACGGGAGAAAATTGGTTTCGGATTCAGAATTGTAGCCCTGATCAGCGGCCTTTTCTGCCCCTTACGTCTGGGCCTCCACTTTCCCACCCCTGGGGATAACCTGTCCCACGTCCACTATTATATTGCTTACAGAAATATCTCAGACAAAGAGATTAATACAAAGAATGGAGGTTCATTTGACTCACGGTTCTGGTGGCTGAACAGTCCAAAGGCGTGAGACTAGCTCCATCCCATGGCTGACAGCAGCAGAAAGGTGGTGGGCATGTACAGAGCACAGTCTGTTCTGTGTGGCTTTCCCAGCCTCATTCTCTTCCTTATGAACCCATGGGGCCCTGCTCAACCAGCCAATCATCAATATCCTTCTAAAGGCTGGACCCGTTAACACGACAATTGAACAAAGTTTTCACCCTCTTAAAGTCCCCTTACAATGGCTCAACATAGGATGCTGGTGGATGGGGGTGCTTTAAACTGTAGCACTTAGGTCAGACAACTCCAAACTGGGATGAGTCTCATGTTTCCTTTCCTTGTTTTGCCATTTCTGACCTGAGTATTTCCCAAGAGAACACAGAAGAGGAGAGCATGACAGCTGTGCCCCTAATAGTTAGATGGCAGGAGGGTAGAACTTTCTTCAGTCTGGAGCTTCAGTGCCAGCCAAGGAGTGAATGCCTTGGAGACCAGTTTTCTCCCTACAGAGAATACTTACTAGTACCTTTTTGGCTGAAGATTCTCTCCTTCCATCCATACGATAGAGCTGCACAGATGGTTCTCTGAATGGCCACAGATCTTCCTCATGAGTTTGTGTGGAATGACTGGGAGCAGAGGGTTGAGGAAACTCCCCTTTAGCAGTGAATGAGTTCGGTGGCTCAGGGAGTATTTATAGAACTTTGATGAGGATACAAAAATTCTGCATCCTCTAGTCTGGACAGGATATTATCTTCCCTTTCAAAGGGGCAAGTGATCTTCACTCTTGTTTCTCCAGTCTTAGTTCCTCTGCCCTAGAATATCTTTTTGTTCTCGGGGGACCAGCAGTTAGTGTAATGGCCATGTTGCTGGACTCCCACGTAGTCGACTGCTGTTCAAGTCCCAGACAA